AAGCACTAGCAGTTCACAATATATGCAAATTTATTTCAAATCCCTATTTTTTTGAAGACGTTTCCTTTTTTACCCAAGAGACGAGAGGAGCAAAAGTTGTTTCTATCCATGAGCAAAAATTCTTTGGCAGGTTTTTCAAATAACCATTTTACAGCCAAAAAAGGATGAAGAAAAGTACTCTTAATCCACAAACAATGATGATAAACAATGAGAGCCATGAGCAAAAAATCTAAAATTTATTGTTCTTTTCTTTTCCTATTCAACCTCTAGAAATAATTAATTATCTTCTCTTCTATCTAATTGACCCGCCACGAATAGAGGATACAGTGCAAACACCAGCTGATGTTGTCAGCGGAATATCTCTATAGCAGGCCACTAGGTCAGTGTTAGTGTGCAGATCTACTTGCAAGGTCTCCCATACCTTCTTCTTGGGGTTCAACAACTCATCAGGCTCACCCACAAACCCCGGAAATGTAACTCTCTCGCCAACTTGAGCAGCTTTTGGCGGATCAACCAATTCAACCTGAGAGTGCACCCAACATTGAAGATCTCTTATCAGTAATTACATTAGTGTCTAATTGTCTATGTTTATTCACAACTAGCTGAACCATTGCACACAGATAAACTTAGCACATGCTTGAGAAAGGTTCTGAGAGTGAATAAGTGTTTGCAATAGCGTCCCTAAAAGCTAAGATTTCAAGAAACATGAATTACAAAGGCATAATTCTTCCTAACTGTGAAAAATCACAAACAAACAGCAACAATTGCGACTCAAGTTCTGTTAGAATGTGTAGTGTTAGTACAGCTGTGTTTGTACAGCTGTGTTAGTGAGTGTTAGTATAGCTGTTTGTACAGCTATGTTAGTGCTAGTACAGCTGCTATCTTTACAGCTGTGTTAGTGTTAGTACAGCTGCATCTCTACTCTTTGTATAGCTATAAATACCTCCCATTGGAGATGAATCAATCATCAGAAATGTTCTGCATCTTATTTTCTACTTGGTATCAGAGCATACTAATTTGCTCTCTTACTTTCTTATTCCTTCCCATTTCTGTGTTACCACAGATCTCTATCATTTTCACCAAGGGTATACTGACCTTGGTGTTCTCTCTTTCATTTCTTATTGAAATCTTTGAGTATGCTCTGTAGTTGCAGCTAGACTGAACTTCTACATCAGAAATTTCCTTTTTTATTTATCTCTACCATAAACACAAATTTCCGCTGCTATTATGGGTGAAAAAACCGAAAATTCAGATTCTCCTGGTGCTGAAACATCTGCCCCAGTGATGAATTTTCACCAAGATACACCTTCCTCAATTGGGGTAAAGCTCAATGGCACCAATTACCGTCTTTGGTCCAAAGTTCTTGAGATGCATATTGCTGCCCGTGAAAAATATGGTTACATCTCTGGGACTAGGATTGCACCAAAGGATTCAGATCCTAAATTTGAGAAGTGGATGGCCGAAAATGCACTAGTGAAGTCATGGCTCATCAATTCTATGGCCCCTGCCCTCATGATGAATTTTATTCATTGTGAGACCGCTAAAGATGTTTGGGATACCGTCAAGAAAACGTATCATGATGCTTCTGATGCTTCCCAAGTCTACGAGTTGATGAAGAAATCCTTCCAGATGCGTCAAGATGGCCGACCATTGACCATCTATTTCACGGAACTCAATTCCACCTTTATGGAGCTTGACTTCCGTCGTCCAAATGACTTGGAGAATCCATTGGACTTTGCCAAATTGAAGAAACGTATCTCTGAAGAACGTGTCTATACATTTCTTGCTGGACTTGATCATAATCTTGATCAAGTATGTGGACGTATTCTGGCCACATCACCTCTCCCTGATATTGATGAAGCTTATTCTATGGTTCGTAGAGAAACACAGCTGTACTAACACTACACATTCTAACATGGCGTGTGAACCTATTAATACTCCAATGGAGGTTAACCATGGATTGTCAATTTATCCAGATCAGATACCTACTAACAAAGAGAGGTATCAGAGGTTGGTTGGAAAGCTGATTTATCTGGCTCATACAAGACCTGACCTGTCTTATGCCGTTAGTGTTGTCAGCCAGTTCATGCATAATCCAAGTGAAGCACACCAAGGTGCAGTGGATCGAATTCTCAGGTACTTAAAGTATACTCCAGGCAAGGGTATATTGTTTTCAAAACATGGGCATTTAGATGTGGAAAGTTACACTGACTCTGACTTTGCAGGCTCAAAACTTGATAGAAAATCAACTTCAGGTTATGTATCTTTTGTCGGTGGTAATCTTGTAACTTGGAGGAGTAAGAAACAGGGGGTTGTGTCAAGATCTAGCGCTGAAGCAGAGTATAGAGCACTCAGTCATGGCATAACTGAGCTTCTTTGGTTAAAGATTCTAATGAGGGAACTCGGGTTTGAACCTAAGAAGCCTATGGTTCTGTATTGTGACAATACAGCTGCCATTGAGATAGCAAATAATCCAGTACATCATGAGAGAACAAAGCATATTGATATTGACAGACACTTTATCAGCGACTACTTGGAAAAAAAGGTCATTCGAGTACCGTATATAAAGAGTGAAGACCAACTTGCAGATATGATGACTCATGCTATTTCTAGCAGAGAACTCTACTCTTCACTAGACAAGTTGGGCATGTGCGATATCCATGCACCAACTTGAGGGGGAGTGTTAGAATGTGTAGTGTTAGTACAGCTGTGTTTGTACAGCTGTGTTAGTGAGTGTTAGTATAGCTGTTTGTACAGCTATGTTAGTGCTAGTACAGCTGCTATCTTTACAGCTGTGTTAGTGTTAGTACAGCTGCATCTCTACTCTTTGTATAGCTATAAATACCTCCCATTGGAGATGAATCAATCATCAGAAATTTTCTGCATCTTATTTTCTACTAGTTCGATATTGCTAAATTACTTTCTGACTGTCAAAACCACTACAGGACTTACGCAGAAACATATTATCACATGATCTTATGCAGAATAAGGCCAACACTGATAATTTTTGAAAAGAGAAACGTTTATTGCACGAAACAAAGCAGAAATTAACTCTTTTTACAGCAGCAATTTTACATAAAGCTGTGGAAAAAATATCCTCACAATATCCTACTATCCTCACCTAAACCCTAATATCCTCAAAATATTCTTAATAAACAATGTTAGAGACCACAAGTTAAAATTAGTTATCATCAAATTCATATTAGTAGACTTTTGTTTCACTCAAAGGGTCTGATTAGCAAGAGCACACAAGATGCAAACACTAATTAAAGATACAATGGGCTGCTTACTGTGGTGTGGTCATTGTTCGAAGCAGCAAGAACCATTGCTTGTGATTTAATACCCCGCATGGTTGCTGGCTTCAGATTGCAAAGAACACAGACCTTCCGGTTCTGCCACAGAATAATTAATATGAAAAAACTAATGGATAAGAAGGTGGTCCCAAAAAGTTATGGAAATAATTCAAATTTTATTATTAAAAAAATCTGTAGACGCAAACACAAACCTGCATTTCTTCAATAGGTATATACTTGACAAGGCCACTCACAACTGTTCTAGTCTGTCCTTCACCAACATCAATCTCTTCTACATAAAGCGAATCAGCATCAGGATGCTTCTGAGCTTTAGTAATGAGGCCAACACAAATATCAAGTCTAGAAATGGAAATCTCTGCTTCAGCTGCAGATTTTGCGGCCTGTTGCTTTTTCTTTCCACTGTTGTCTGTTACAAAAAAGGCTTATTAGAATAGATATACTTATGTAGTAACACTAATAACTAATAAATGGTATAGGATTCTTTTCAAGTATAAGTGCCCACAAAACATGAGCTTAGCTTATGAGGTAAACCCACATTTTAGGAGAACCTATGTATTTTTTTGGTTACCAGGAGAAGCTGTGTTTATGTAAAAATGAAGAAGTATGGGAAGTATTACTTATTAGTTAACTTTGCTAATACCAAGAGCTTGTGGGCCAAACTAACTAGATGTAAGGACATTCTAACCTGAAACTTTCATTTTCTTGAGTTGTGCAGCCACCTTTACTGCTTCAGCTTCTTCCCTCTCCTTCCTATCCGCTTGACTTCCAGCAAACTTCTTCCTCAAGGATTCCACTTCTTCATCTTTCTGTATGCACGTGTAAACTTTCAGTAAATGAGAATCTACAAACAGGAAAGTGATACAGCAATGATATCATGGCAAACTAGAGAGTCCAGCATTGAAAACCAAAAACAAATTTTAAGTGCAGCCTACAAACTTATCCCAGAGACTAGCTTAATTTTCCAGCCACTCACTTAGAGAAGCTAATAAACAAAAAGTATATAGACAAGACTACTATTTTAGTGCTTTAGGACCTTCCACCTATGCAATAGATAAGTTGTACTCAGTCAGATGTAAGTTGTTTAGGAATTACTATTCACCACTGAGTCACTATGTCAGAAAAAAAAAAATTGCTTCTAGCTGCAGCATCAGTGATGGTTGGATGCTTTGTTGATCCGGTTTTCTAGGCAACTTAAATTACATTATAGGATTTACTTCATCATCAAGTATTACAAGGCAATATTTCCTTGTGAAGTTCTTGTAAAGCAAATGCAACATACAATCCTGGTGATATTGAATAATTGAGGCGCTGTTTGTTCAAGAGCTACTTGAAGTTCCCCCTACCCCATGCCCTTCTCTTATATTTTCTCTCAATAACCTTTTGTTTGCTGATAACATCAGGACTTTTCTCCATTATTTTGCTGCAATTCTCAGCAAGCGTTTCTTCTATTTCTTGTTTAGGGTTCCTCTCTCCTAAACACTATGCCATGACATACTGTGGCCACTTTGGCGATTCATATTCCCTTCATGCAGAATAATTTGAAATTACAAGTGTTCCATCACTTTAAATCCTCTACGATCAGGTTGTTTCTTCCCACTCATCACTCATCAGTGTCAATAACAACAAGAGTAACAAGAAACAAATAATGGTAAAAGACAGAGCAAAGCAGAGACATACCAATTCCTTGAACAACGGCTCTGGTTTCCCAATCTTGTGACCAATAGGTACAATCTCCCAAGGCCGTCTTGCCCTAGCAATATCCCCTTTATCATCATAAAGCGATATGTGTGTCTCAGGAGGCAAATCAAGCTGCTTAAATACCTTGAATGCAGTTAAAGGAAAAATAATCTCAGCATGGATGATTATAGTAATATCACGTGATCACAAAAATATTTCAGAGTAACACAATCATCTGTGAAG